CATCTATTTTGGAATTAGCGCATTAAGTCCTAATAAAACATTATTTTGGCATAAAATTCAATTTTAATTCAGCCGTATAATACGGCCCGTTTTGATAGAATTTTTATGTTATCCAACAACGTTTTTTTGAAACATATAAGTATATTAAAAACAACTGGGTAATTTTATTGTGAAAAATATCAGTTGTCGTTTTTATAACAATTTCTTAACAAAACTGCACAGAAAATATAAACCAGCTAATTTTGGAAATTTAAGGGAAATATTCTCGCAAATATTTTTACCCGGAAAATTTATTTTTTAATTAAGCGGTGCCCGGCAAATTCTATAAATGCCTAATATCTGTACAAAAAAACTCGCTACACGGAGAAAAATTCCTGGTTGTCACAACAGCGGGACATTTGGGGCAGTTGCAGGGCAGGTTAAAGAGCAGATGTTTAGTGTTAAGTCGGTGGGCACTTGACAGCGTCGACTGGCGATTCCGCCGCTCTTCGCCACTGACACCACTTGACCTCGTCAGCCGGCCAAGCGGCCCGTCCATTAGCGGTCCTGTCCACTAGGCTACGCGCACAATCAACACCGTCGCCACATCGCACTTCATTCCTGCCACTTCCTGCTGTCGCTCCGCTTTTTTTTCTGCACCGGCTTAATCGCCGCAAATTGACCGCAACCGCGGGTTTTCCATCCATTACATTTTTTTTATATAACACCAATTTTTCCTTAAATAAATCTCATTAAAAATAGCCAAAAAAAATTCGCCGGGTTCTTATAAAAAAATTCACAATTAAAGGGACCACGTTTACAGTTTTTCAGAATATAAAACAAATTTCCAACAAGAAAAATCGAAAACAGTTGCAGAAAAAATAATAATACAAAACAAGCGATTTTTATAAATTTTTGATTTTTTATTCTTTTTATCGTGGTTTTTTAGGAATAATTTTTATATCTTTTTAAAACAATATTTCCTGTATTTTATGATTTTTATTGATTATTCGATGTCCAGTTCTAAAAAAAGGCACGCAATTTTTTATTTCTTTTTTATTTTTCAACAAGTTTTGTAGAAAAAAATTTTTTTGATGTTTTTTTTTGTCCGGAAAAGGCTATTTTTTAAAAATTTTTCAAGAGGCAACAGAAAAAAGAGAATTTTAAATTTAAGGCTTTATTGCGAACTATTGCGAACTAATATTGGGAATAAATTTTTTTATTTTATATTTGAATTATCCGAAATTATTATCAATTTTTAAAACCGGCATTTAATTGAGCAGAATTCGAAAAAGTCATTCCAACCAAATTTTTATCGATCTTTTTGTCCACGGGCCGCGCACATAAAGCCGGCGGATTTTATGGGTGGAAAAGCGCATCGGTTAAAACGGTGGAGCAAATGAGCGACATTAAACTCATAAAGTGATTGTCCCAGATTTGGGGATAGTTTTTGGATTTTTTATGGTTGTTGGGCTTGTTAACAAGCTGCGCCGGCAGCAAGCGCATATAATTCTGTACACAGAGAGACAGATTCACGCGTCACGCGATAAGCAAGATTGATGGCATTTATACGGCTTTTTTACCTTTCCCAACAACTTATCAACGGCACATCGACAGATTTATGTGGGAGACCAATTTCATTGCGCAATTTGCGCAAAGTGAGTGCTCTCGCTGAACAAATGTGCTGCAAATGGCATTTTCCAATTTTTAAAAGCCTCTCAAACAATCGGAGAAAAACCAGTGGAATATAAATATTTTTCGTGAGAATTAGTCAAAATAATTTCGTATTCTACTTTGTAAAAAATATAAATATAATGTAAATATTTTATAACTCTAATTAATAATTATTTTTTTCCTGAGTACAAGTACTTTTCATGTTTTTCGATTTACTGATATGTAATAATTTTATATTTTATATTTATTTTATATTTATTTGTAATAATTTTATATTTTTTATTTATTTTTTAATATGTGTTACTTGCTAATTTTTTAAGCAACCAAAAAATTTTTCCTAAATAATTCATGACTATTTATGATTTATTTAAAAAAATATTTATGTTGTCGATATTTTATGATTTCAAAATATAAATCTGTCTTCACAATTCTCATATTTTTCGATTTATTAACATAATACTGGTAATAATTTTCCATAATAATTTTTCAAACGGCTAAAAAAATTATTTAACATTTAGTAATTCGTTTTTGGTTGATCTAAAACATTTGCTGCATAATGCATTTCGTTTTTTTTCGCAGGAGATTTTTAAAAATTTGCAGATAATAAAAGCCGGAAAATTCAGTATAAAACGGAAATTGGAAAATATTTACAAATCATTTTTGACCGAACACGCTTGGTCGCCGTATCGAATAACCGGAATAATTATTTCGACGAATCTAATTATGCTAAAATCACTTAAATGATGGGACATTTTGAGTGCACCGTGGTTCAGGGAAAATCACGTGATATGTGTGGATATTGCCGGGAATATGAAACGACTGGGACACATCGGCGCAGCGTTGTGTGCGCGTGGGGAGAGCGTCCAACCGCCGAGGTCATCGATCCGGCCATCGCTGCTGTATCAAATCTGGGTTTACGACTTTAAACGTGCAAATACCAGTCGCATATATTGGCCAAAGAAAAATTATCTCCGGATTTTTGTGTGCAGTTTCGTTGCGGGAAAATGTGCCGGCAAAAATATCTTATTTTAAAAATTTTATTGGCTACAAAGTTTTGCAAAAATCACCCCTGAGAAAAAAATTATGAAAACTGGATATCCGATTTAATATTCATTTAAATTGAGCCGCTCAAATTTGCCGCATTCAAATTTTTTACTTATTATTATCATTTTTTTTATTTAATTTATTTTCTGTTGCCATTATTTCGTTTTATTTGATATAATTCAACTTGTATTCGAATTTTTGTTCAAATTTTTATAATAATTTGTTCCACCGTTCTTATATAAGTTATATTTTTGTGATATTGATTTATTTGAATTTCAAAGTCTAAATATTTTTACAAAACCTTTGAACAAATAGCGCAAGATTATATATTTCATCTTATTTGAATGAAACTGTTTAATAAACAGAATAAAAGGTAAAAACGAATTTTCTAACAGCTTTCTGGTTTAATAAATAATTTTTATTTCATTATCTATTTTTATTAAAAAATGAATGTTGGCACATTAATTAATTCTAATACATAAATAATTTTGTTTATTAGATATAAAATACTGTAAATGGTTTATTGGACAAAACACGCGGGCTATTGATAAAAGGGAAGATTTGTGTCAAAGGTGCAATTGAAGTCCGTATACAAAGTATAAAGCTGTCGGCGCGAGCGTGCCAGCCAGGCAATTTAACCGCTCTTCCTGTTATTCCCAGCGGAAGTGCGCTGATCGATACGGCGAGCACCTATTCAATTAACTAATCATTGGCTGCACTGTTTATGCAGGCTAAACCAATATTTTTCATATTTTCCCTATTGATTGCCTTTTTATGCGGCGCGCCCGGCCTCCGAACGCGGAGCCTGGTTTCTGCACAATGGACGCCGGTGTCCGCCGCAACAAAAGGCGGCCAATGTCAATGAACGTTTAAAAATAAATTATAAAAAATAAAAAATAAATCAGAAAGCCGTTAGACAATTTATTATTATTTTTTGCATTTTATGCGGTTTATTAAACAATTTATTCTAAATAAAATAAAAACATACACACTGATATTAGCCAATTTTTACCATTGGAAAATTTAAACAAACAGATATCTGCATTTTTTTATATTAATTTTTTCTCATTTAAAGAAGCATTATATTTACCCAAATTAAATGTAACAAATATTGTTCCGATGTATTCATTATTAATTATAAATTTGTTTTTCAACATTTTCGCTACATTTGATAATAATATTGATTATTTATAATACATATTTATTTTTTTAATTTTTTATATTATTATATAATTGTAAATATTGTATTGCTAATCATTTCTTTATAAAACAGGTTTCTGATTTTCTGAATTTATCTGCGTTAAATTGCTGCATTGTATATACTTTTTCCCTCGAAACTTTCTTCAATGATTCATGTAAAATTGTCAGTTGTGAGTGGAGCGGGACAAACATGGACGGACAATTGTTTCATTTGTCAAGGAGCACTCGTTGCGATCGTGGAGAGGCTGGGAATGAATGATCTGCCGTACACATTAGGCCAACGCAACGCATCTATCGCACAATTTGCCGTCGACGCAATGGAGCGTAAACTTGTTACTGTATCGTCTACACACACACTACTGCCCAGTCTAAACTCCAACCGGCAGATATGATACAGAATAAGATAAACCGGCATGCTTGACGAGTCATTCCACTTTCCCCGGCTGCTGCAGCCCTATAGCTCGTCCACTTCCGGATGCAATCAGCAAATCATAACCAGCCACTGATTTGCTCCATTCCAAAACCATTACCCTCCATTTTCCACTTACACACGGAGCTCGTCCTCATTTTTTACTGGCAATTTTTGTATATTTAAACCTCTCCATATATAATTTTTATATTTTTTCCGTATATAAAAATGTGACCTTTACCGATATAATCAATTTTTAAACCCATAATCCCTTTTTAAACCGTTAAAACATGTAAAACAATTTTTTGGACGAATCAGCTTTTAAATATGTTTTTAACAATTTTGTACATATATTTATTTCCTTATAAAAATGTGACCTTTATCGTAACAAATAAGTTTTAAATGAATACAGACTCAGTGAATCATTTTTTAACAACTTTAATAAAAGACGTTTTTTATGACAGTTTAAATCGTTTCATGAAAATTTCTTTCGCATATATAAAAATGTGACCTTTACCAACACCGGTAAAGTAAAACGTTTTGATAAGTATCCGAATTTCTCGGTAAACATACATATAAATATAAAAATAATATTGATTAATACAGTGAATTTTTTTGTATAACCGCCCGCTGCGGCAGTTTGCCGTGATTGTCGTGATTTTTCAGTTATTTTTTGTTTGATTTTTGCGCTTACATGAACTGGATCTGGTCGGGCATGTTTCCGGTGGGGAGGAAGTGGAGGATGAGATCGGCGCTCTTGGGTTTGGAGTCGGCGTGCGTGACGGAGTCGGCCTCGTGGAAGCAGTTCTGCGTCTTGATGGCCACTTTGCTGCCCTCCGCGGCCGCCGTGCCGGCCTCCACTTGCCACTTTCCCACGGCCTCGCTCCCGTCGGGGGCGCGCGCCTGCACGAAGAAGCCGCTGATCTTCCGGTTCTTGTATTTCCCGTGCGCCGTGCGAATCCGTACTACAAATTAAACCATTAGTTGTTTTATTTTTAACATACCTTAAAAATTTGAGAATAACTTTTGAACTGTACTAATAAACACTACATTTTAGCTGAGTCTTCTACAACGCAAATTATTATCAAATATTTATGCTAACTATTTTTTCATTTTTTGATATTTTTGTAATTTTCGAATTTTTATTTATGAACTTTATTTTCTGGAATATTTTGTATGCTTTTCCATTAATATATAATTTTGAGTTGATAATGTGATTTCAAAATTCCAGATTTTTAATTTTCGTATTTTAATTATTAAATAATTTACGTGGCTGTTTTTAATTTATCAGTTATATATTTTTAAACAATTCGCCTTATTTGAAATATTATTTTTGATAGGTAAATAATTCGTCACGCATTTATTAATTTTCTGTCGCCGCAAATATTTAAAAATAAATTCTCGAGCTATCGATAAATCATATTTCCCCGATATTTCAATCGCCCAAGCAAACAATGATATAATAAAAATTCCCAGCGACGCCTCTGTGAAAAAAACCCCGTGGGAACGCCGTGTCGCTCCACATAGGCATTGACTTGTGATGACGAATGACATAATGCCGCGTCGCGATTATCCGCTGCCGTTGTGGACAATAATTCAGATAGATGCCTTACTGTATATATGTAACATGTATATATCGAAAAGCCCTAAGTGATGGGAGTCGACACAGATCCCCACAACGCCAAGCCAACCCAATTCCCCACAATGGGGCTTTTTTAGCAGAATTGAAGCCCCAACGTCTGACAAGCACTGACACTCGTTTGACCCACTTCCGCCGGAAGCACCTGATTTCCGGGCGCAGGGACGACCGGCTTGACCGCCTTTCGCCGGGACTAGCAAAAAACAACATGGAATGAGGGAGCATGTAGGCACAACCACTTCCATCGTAATACAAACATTTTTAGCTTTTCTCCAATTTTTCCGTTAAAAAGTCAACGGATATTTTAAACAATTATTTTTCCAGAAAACATCACCATTTCTTTTCCATAAAATATTTAACATTTTCGATGGGATTTTATTTTCTGAAAAACAATAATTTTATCGAACCGGTAAGCACAATTGTCAAAGCGAACAGGAAATTTTCTGAAAAATCCAAAAATTTGTTAATATAAAATTCAGTTAGTGTTTTAAGTAATAAAAGCTGCATTAAAAATCAAGAAGTGAACGCACAAATTGTTCAAAACTGAGAAAACGTTTGATGGAATTCCCCTTTCAGCAGAAAACGTTACGACGCCGGCAACGAACAATTTATTAAAAAAATTCTTTTTATTCTTCTACGGTCTTATCTGGAGAACTTTTGGAGAAATCCAAATATTAATAAAAAAACCACCAGTAACGGCAAAAATGACTGTGTCAACGCACAAATTATTAAAAATTGTCCACACATTTTTCTTCAGTTTTTTCGGATCTTTGATGCAAAATAATCCCGCTATTAAACGGCGGAAAATGTCAACGAACAATTATTAAAAAAAATCCGGCTTTGATTTGTACGAATCCACTGTTAGAAAAATTTCCCTGCAAAGCGAAAAATGGTGCGATTAATAAAATATGAGCCGGTGATTGTGTGGTGCGGCGTATTTCTGGGTCAAACAGCGCCTGGGCAAAGAGTGGACAATGTCAACACAGGATCATTATAGAGATGCTTTATATCAACGCCGGCAAGTTTTTTGGTAAACAGCACACTCCATTTACCGGGCAGCGCTGTGTGTCGCGGCTCATTGGCTGCACTGCATCGGCAACACAACCGAAAAAAACACTCATCGCCACGGCAAACAGTGGATGCGGCGCGTGCCGGCTAACTGTTTCTCAGCGATTTGCCTCCCGCTTATACCACTTTAAATCGATACTTTTTTACCCTACTTCCTCCACCGGCAAAATGCCGCGGTCATTATACAATTAATCGCTTGCAATAAAAAACGGATAAAAACCGGCAAAATACGGGTTTATACGCTTCTTTAAATCCAGGTAATAAAATTTAATTGCTCCAAATATTTTTGAAAAATCAGATGACGCATTACATATATTAAATTTTAATTACTACTATTTTTTAATCATTTTCGCCGCTTTTGAATAATTTTATTTCGTCCTCGGCGAAGGTGAAATTATATTTTATTCGGCGCAAATGAATTTCTTCCTTCAAACGCTGATGAAAATAATTCGCCAAATTTCTGAATTCATCTTTGAACCACAACTGACATCTTTAATTATTTGTTACCCATTTATAACATTCTTTTATTCTTTACTTAATTATATATTTTTTTCTACATTGAGGTATTTATTTTCCGATTAATAAATGAAAATAAAATCGTGTATCTCGTTTTGAATTTTTAAACAAAACTTCAGACACTAATGCAAAACCTCGATAAACGGAAAGATGATTTTAAAAATGCGCGTTAAACGCCCGTCGTCTTACAATGATTGAAAATTCCGGCGGCATATAATTTGCAATAATTTGCTTTTTATTTAATTACAGTTCTGCGTCGCGGCCGCGCGGCGCATCAATCTAATAATCATAAGAGCCTATCGATTAAACTGTATTGCTCCTCATGATTGACTTGTCTGTTCTGGCTTCTCGCAATGCAGTCTCAACGAATTGATTGGAAAAACATTTAGTCACGATTAGAAAACACACTCGACTTCTTTCCCGGCACAAACATTCCACTTTGGCGAATTTATACAAAATATATATATGCGAGCGCGCGACCCGACAACCTGTTTGAGCCGGTCAAGAAAATTCATTGTGGAGAAAAGTAAAAGTGGCAAGAGAGTGGTGGCTATCGAAGAGCAAACACGCAGACAGCTTTTCACCTAATTCCAGCCGCGGAACTGGCAATTACGGCATTGTCCAGTGCAGTTGCAACTGACCATATGTGTGTATGTATAGAGGGATACCTTGGCCAGGTGAAAACGCGGATTTAGGAATTGTATGGCTATTGTAATACGCGTCATGCTGGGCAAATCGCCGGCTGAATGTCGACGAAGCCAAAGATCGCGCCCAACGCGCGGACGGGTGTATTCAACGCGCCAAGTATCTGTTTGTTTGTTGGCTAATATCATCGCTCCCGCCTCAGCACAACAAACGATCACCTTTGCCGCGTGTAATCCGCGTTTACCGGCAATTTGTCCGCTTTTGAAATATTTTATTATGATTTTTGAAAATATTCACGACGATTTTATCATTTTTATGTGAACTCGATTTAGCATTTTTAAGATATTTATTTTCGTCGGTTTTCCTTAATTTTTAGAATAACAATCAGTATACATTTTTCATAGAAGAACAACCTGTTACAGGAGAAATTTTTTCCCGAATTTAATCCACAGTTTTCGTGGTTTCAGAACTATGTTCTCAGAATATATTAAGAAATTTTAATTCAAACTATTTCTCCAGTTTCGAGGGAAAAATTTGACATTCTTTTCGATTATTTTCACAGGTGGATTTAAATTACAAAGAAAATGAGGCAACTTTTTTGTACTGGCAGAATAAAACGCGACCTTTTAACTGTCAAGTGCCATTTTATGCAATTGTGAATAAAAGAATTTTTTGTAAAGCACTCTCTTCCGATCGAAGAAAATCGGAAATTCGTCATGCTTATAAAATATAAACAAACGGCAAAAATCGAAGCCGGATCAATACGATTACCCATACAATTTCATTCCACGATTTAAACAACAGCCATAATTTTCCATAAAAGTCGGGCTTATTTGATTAAGTTGCCGGTTGGAGTTGATTACCGGGTGTAAGTGCATCTTCTCGAATGAGCCGCGCTCGGGTCATAAAAAGCCATTGTCTATCGGTAAAATGCGGGCAGCGATTGGGGCTTACCTTTGAGGATGCGATTGAGAACAAAGCTATCTCCATCGGGCTCAATGAGGAACGGTAGCGTATCGGCCGGCTGCGGCTCTTTACCGTGCCCCGGCACCAGCGTCTTACAGGCACTCGGACCCGCGCCGAACGGATAAGACAGCGCCGGACGGAGGATAATTAACGTGTACAGTAGCGGAACAAGTAGCCACTCCATTGCCCGTTACAATGATCCGTAATTAACACCGATAAAATTCCCGCGAAACGTCCCAATTCACATTATAGAACACACACCGTAAATAAATCGCACGGCCGGTAAATATTCCTGAGAATATTTATATAATGTTTACAGATGACGATAATACAGGTTAATATTTATACGAGATGGCAATAAAAATTACACAGCCTTGACAAATTTGGATGCCGGGTTTTTGACTTCTGGGAAGGATAGAATGATGATGATGGAAAGGGCGATGCGGAATTAAAAAGCCGGCGCGTCGCGATGTGAAGTATGCATATATTCTCTCGGCCAGTTGTGTGCACAATTGACCACTCCAAACGGCCACTCAACGCTGGAATGAATGTACAACGTTGATCGTACAAGCGCAACCGGCTCTACTCGCCGTCGTACGTATATGTGCGGAATGTAGCACGGACAGGTAGATTGACCAGCGTGCTGATCGTACAAGCTCAACCAGCTCTACTCGTACGTGTACGTGCGGAATCTAGCGCCGACAGGTAGATGCGGATATTTTGACGTTGATGGAGCGATAAGGGAATGGAGCCGAACAAACACACCCGGATACGCATACACACAGCCAGACAGAGCGAGATTAAAGCCGATTGCAGGGGGGATTTTTCTATTCTCTTTCCTGTGACTGCCGAGAGAAACAGAAACTCATCGCTGTGCAACCAGGTGGCCGTCTCTCCACTGCGGAGGGGGCGGAGATAGTAGGCTGGTCAGTATGTGGTGTAATTGCGTGGCAGTGGGCGGTGGAATACTCGTGTAAATACTGCTTGTCGATTATCAGCATTCCAGCTCCGCCAATCAACGAGTGCTCCTGCTTGCGCAATTCACCGGGTTCGTTTTTTGGGAAGGGTGAAGCGGTCGTAACGATGACGAATGGGGAAAAAGTGTGCGGATCGTATTAATATGGTAGAAGCTGCCAGATGTGGTTAGTGAGTAATTTTTCACCGGGCGCGGGCTAATGTCCCGCGAGACCGGACTCTTGGTCTGTGGAAGGAGGCTGTGCACCCCGAGGAGCAGATGAAAACGGGGACATCTGCTTCTGGCCGGCGTTTATGCTAATGCATCCAATTGAGACGCTTAGAGGCGCATATGTCTTCGCCATTAGCGCATCGTAGAGAATTTAAAGGAAGCTCTTCAGAAAAATAGCATTATCACTTTCTGCATTCGCTTTCGCTGGGTAGTTTTACCGGATGTGTATTTTTAATTTTGGATGACTTCAGTCATGGGCAAAGCCGAGCTCCAGCAAACCTAAGAAACTTAAGAACGACGATGCAAAAACGCAAGACGGAGCGATCGCGATTAAACAAACTGCCGGTGACTTTCTCTTTACATATGTCTTTCGCCGGAAATGCCTTGTTTTTTGGTTTCTCTAGTCGAAAACCTTATAACCCTAACATCAAGTCAACATCCAGAAATCTAAGAAACCCAAGAAACCTAAGAAGCACATTGCAACAGCCATTAACAAAACAAAGCGACCGATTCGATGCAAAGTGCCGGTTACAGATCGGTACATTCTCATTTTTTTATTTTTCTACTGAAAATTTTGCCCAAATACCTTAGGTTTATTCGCCTTCTAATATAATAATAAACTTTAGGGTCTGCTAAGGATCTAGGCAACTCAAAAAGACTAACCAACCACACTTTTTGGAAAATATAAAACGACTGCTCTAGTTAATTGACCGGGAGGTACTTCTCATTTGGGGCTTGTTAGAGAATATCTTACCGGAATTATACTCTGTACTTTCTGCTTATTTGCCTTAGTTTTTGCTAGTCCAATAAGGGCTAGTTCAATAAGGGCTTTTGCTAGTGCTAGTCTTCGATTTTCTAAGAAACCTTAGAAACGCCACCCACAAGAAATTACTATAATCCATCGATTAAGAATACCACCGGCGATTCTTTCATATACGCACGTTTTCCTGAATAATTAACCGGGAGCACCACCAGCTTCTGATTGGTCAGTAAGCGCACATTTAAAATTCTGTACAAAACCTAAGGAAACTAAGAAACCTAAGAAACCCCCGCAACAAAACGATTAGCAAAAGTAACCGGTGATTTTTTTGTCAAGAGCGGCAACTCTGGCTGCATGTGATGTCATAATGTGGCTTGTCAATGGGCCTCTTAGAGCGTCCTCGCATAAATCGCTGGAGTGTATCCTCATGTTTGTCTTTCCCATGAAGCATAGTCAATATCGACCCCAGCGCGTTTCATGGGCACATAGAACAGTACACTTTATACCATGCTCTCCTTGTTCCGCTCCTTTCGCCATTAACTGCATCTTCCTCCCGATCGCTCCAACCGATGCAGTTGAGCGATAAACAGCGATCTACGCGCATCGATCTAAGACGTTTGGCTTATACATACATACCGTCCCGGATGCGCTCTCCCGGCGCGCGCTAATCGTCCAGCGCTGGATTAGGCCGAGTGCGCTTTTAATTTTCGTATATAAGCGCCACCATAGATAGATATAAGCCACGTGATCGGCGTGTTGGTAGTCGGGATTCTTCGGGTAATTGACGAGCCAGCGGGATACTGGTTGTCGCTGTCGACACAGGGTAATGGCTCACATCGTTAGGACTGACAAAGCGCCGCGCGGTCGGGCTCTTGTTTTCCCAGGGAATTAGCGGGATTCACTGGCGCGATTAGCCGGTGCGATGCGGGCAATTATAATTGCGCAATACGGTAGCGTGTTGCGCCGGTTAATGATCTGGAAAAGATTATCAGTGACGCAATAACATATGATACTAACGAGCGGCAGTGTTGCCGCTTAAGAAATCAGGATTAATTTTCATTTTTTGGCAGGGAAAATATTTGAGGGTTTTTTTTATAACGGCGTATATTCGCTGGTTCGACCTGTGACCGTCGTCTTTTCAATAAAAATTATAAACGAATTTGTTAAAAATTCTCGAAAATGTAACTACTAGTGTATTTTGTGATTTTCTAACCAATTTCTGAAAAACTCTTAAAAATTGCTAACAAAAAGTCTGTTCTTAACAAACCTCTGAAAACTTTTTAAAAATTACTAATGAAGTTTCTGATTTTCTAAATAATTTCTACAGTAAAAAAGTTTCAGATATTGTTTAACAATTTTTAATTTTTTGTAAAAGAATATTCAATTCTTAGTACGCAAACGCAGTAAATAAAAATCCGTCCACGTGCATAAAATTATGTAATTTTGCACAACTGTGTTTACTGTGTAAACTGTGTTTCAAATTTAGACTTAATAGAAATAAATTATTAATCCAAACATATTTCTCAAATTGCGTTTCACAATGTCGTGCGTATAAAAATACACGAATTAAAATTAACGAGATTTATTTCCCTTGTAAACGCAAACGAATTTCTCTTCTTTTGAGTGATCCGTGTATCTTCCGGTTTTGTGTCATATGAAACTGACCGGCACTGCATTAAATTTCACGGCGAAATTAATATAAATTCGATTGACCATCGAGTCAAGTTGCGCTGGCGCATGCATGCTTCTGTGAAGGAAAACAGGACAATTTGTACAAGTTATTACAAGCTGACTTTTCAGCTGGTCACTCCACGAGAACACCAGCATCCCGACTGGCGCACGCGTCGCGCGATATCGATCTCCGGCGATGCGTTTTATCTGATGGTCAGCCAGCGTAATTTCCAGCTGGACAACAATATTATTTAATGGCTGCGCGGAATATGAATAATGTTGATGCAGACTGCATATATAAAGTGTATACATACATCTATATCCACTCAAGCAGCCATTATCCATTGGGCTCGGCTTAATTGTAATGATGCAGCCACTCTCCGATCCACCGGCAATTGATAAGTAGCCAGATAGGAATATGAATTTCTAGTTATATTCCCCTGGACGGGCTAACGCGGCCTACATTCGTATAACTAACCGGGATCAATGCCGCGCCACGGCCTCTTGACAATATACACGGGATGGAATCGTCTCAGCAGTGGAAATGTATGCAAACAAGATACTCGTTATCCTATTCCGCTTGTGCATCTGGCGTTTTTGGTGAAAGGGATGCCGTGACCTTTACGAAATTGCTCCTTACGGCGTTTTTCTTATTTGAAAAATTAATAAAATTTATTTCCGGAAACTTGTTCTGTAATAATAATTTAGAATTTATGTTGTAATCGCAGTCTCGAACACAAAAAGAAAATTGTTATTAGAAACTGAGGTGTGCAAAATTCTAAAAATTGCTAAAGGTCTTTCTGATTTTCTAAGCAGTTCCGAAAAAGAGTATGCGGAATCGAAAATATATAATAAAACGTTTAATTTGGTAATATGTTTTTCGTATTTTTATACTTACACAAAAGCATATTTTTGTTAAATATTTTTGGGATTAAATATTTTTGGGAAATGTATAACAAAAAGGAAATAAATAAAACCATGGAATTACCAAACCAAAAATAAACAAGTTAATCTAATTACTGCAAAATACTCTCATAAAAGTCATAAACAAAATAAAATAACGAAAATGAGAGAAAACACAATTAAAGGATATAATGAACGAGAAGAAATAAAAACAGAATTTAATATAGAAATTAAGATATTTAAGAAATATTTATTTTGTAAATTTATAGGCAACGATTCGATCGTGAGTTCACAATTTTATTGTAAATTAATATAAAAAATTTAGCTTAATTGGTCGAATGTGAAAATTGACAAAACAAATAAACTTGTAATAAAATTAGTAATATATGCCGATATAGCTAAGCCGGTTGGGAAAAGGTCACGAAATTCGGGAGCGCGTCGGAAACTCTGTGCTGCACATCTTCTTCATTGAAGCGTCCCGCGATTTCATTGACAGTGTAAACAATTTAAGACAGAGATTGAACTAGACCCCGAAAACTTCCCTACCATTAAATTAAGCTCTTTCAATCCGGCGCAACATTTTCTCCTGAATGTCATGGACTGAATGCTCATCCCGTTGTTTAGACGAATTATTGGCGGCTTTTGTTGGGCGAACGAGTGACATTTCCATTAGGATGATCCGTTGGCCAGCGCATTCACTTCCGGCATTATAGCGTGATTATGTTAAGCTGAATGCACTCGTTGCGCACGCCGACAAAGGCCTAATCGTCACTTGAGAACGATCGCGATGTTACGCAAAAAGGCCACGTAACGTATACACGTATATACCGGGAGATGGCCGTCTTCCGGATGGATTCTCCGCGTCCGGATGTTGTTAGCATATGCAGTGCGGGCTGCGGGACAACTTCCGGGCGGGCAGGGCATGCAGTTCGAGGCTTCGAAAGCGATTGTCGCGCATAATATTGTTATGTTGCCGGCGTTTTCGGCTAGCACGTTTGCTTGGACAAAACACACGTATAAAAATTCGATCAAATAATTTTCATATATTGCTGATATGTACGTCAACTAATTATGTATACAATTTTGGTAATTTTTTATATTTTTTAAAATTTTTATATTGTTTCAATTTTCTGATTTTTTTATTTTTTTGTACCAGATTTTAATTTATTTACATTTTTTTAATGTGTTGCTTAGTTTTCTCTTTATTAATTTATTACTGTGGAAAGTTTTTTATATACTGCAGTTCATCACGGAAATCGCGTTGACCTTTCAGTCGAAAGGCATATTTTATAAACGATGAGGTGCATGTACAAACATGTATATACTGTAATATATAATATTTATAATCATCTGTACACGCCGATGATATAAATTGCATGCACATGTTACATGTTTACTATGTATGCATATGCAGTATATACTTGTACATATTATACACATTTATTTCGTGTATATATAAATAATTCCATGTAAATATAAATTATTTCATGTATATATAAGTTATATAGTTATTAATAAATTTCATGTACATAATATAATTTCATGTAGATATGTACAATACAGAGTGTACATGTACATATCAGTACACAGATATCATGCACATATCTCTCAGTTTTAAAATTTCATATATTCATGTGTGGTATCTCCCATTAATTCTCTGCATAATGGCCTCAATGATCGCCATACCGATTGCTTCCCATTTTCCAACTGTAAAAGCATAACGCGTTATGGAAGTATGGATAATTTATGAGCCATTTACCGTCTGCGAGCAATTTTATTCTCCCGTTAATGGACCAGCGCGCATTCCTCCTAGCACACTTTACAATAATATCAGTCAAATATGAAAATATAGGCTGCAAGTGGCGTGATAACATTTATACAGTGCGATGTATCGAGTTAATACCGGGCGTTTATGCAGCGTAATGCCAACCTGCTAATTATCTGTAAAGTGTATATGAAGGCGATATGTTCCGTACCTGGCTGGACAATGGTCCATACCAGCGCCGGTGGCCTCAGTTTACAAGGTAGACAGGGGCAGGGAAAAATGCTCGAGCCGGCGATTATGGATGATTGGTATGTAATTGTGCTCTGGCAGGACGGAGTAATAACTGCACCGTCTGGGAACGCTGCCGTTAAATGCTGCACGGGGGAATGCTGGCTGCCGGCGTGTTAAATTGGGGCGGAAGCAATTTATATTAATAACTTAATGCAAGTGTTTCGTAGCATTTTTGTACGCCTACAAATAATACTCATACATTTGTGTGTACACAACAAGCATTCATGTGTATTTTGGTGTATACAACCAGCATTTATGTGTATTTTTGTGTATATGTACAATAAACATTTATGTGTATTTAATTATGTGTATACAAGCATCCATAAATATATTAAAATTAGTTAAACATTAATCTTAATATTGGAAATAAATACGGACGTTTATTAACCTAATCAGCTTTAACGTTGGTATTCAAATTTTATGGTTATTGAAATTAACCTTTATAGTCAGTACTCAATATAGAAAAAATGTATCGCTGTTTTCGCTGCGATATTATGTACTTTTTTTAATTTTTCGTTCAACTGATGTGCAATTTTCATTTTTTTTATAGAAAATTTGCTTTTTTATTGAAAAAAATTTGAACTTTAGTTATAAAAAACATAAAATTTAACATGGTATTTATTATTTAACATTATTTTAATATAATTGCGTGTAGTGCTACTTCTGTGCAGATTTTTTTATATAGTTTACACGGCAAAGCGCATATATAAATATGCGTGACTGTTTTGTTTAATTTACGTTACATTTCTGTACATGTTGCATTTCTTGCATGGAAATTACCTGTTTTCTGGTCGGGATAAAGTCCACCTGCCGTGCAGTGCGTTGTACGGTAACTACAGCTACTGAAATCGGCTGACCACTCATTTTTCCGATCGTAATCGCATTATGAAGTTCATTCGCTGAAACAATACGACGGGAATATTCCGCGCAGTCTATTCAGATTACCGCGTGCTCATTTGCGCCGGGATGGCATTGATTGCGGAAAGGTTTCCTTGACCAAACTGACAATAAGTATATAAAGAATCGCTCGGTGGCAACTTTCAGTTGACTTATTGTAATTATTTTCTGCTTGAAGATTTCCTGTTACACAGCTAGCTACGTTGCGTTTTCTTTGCACACGTATAATTTCTTAAGGACCAGTGTGAAAATGCATTTTTACCGACATATAAGAATGGTGCTAGTCCTGGCTATTGGATTTTTATTCGTTTTTGCCGGTAAGTCATTGATTATTAACAGCTTTCCTACAGTAAACATTACGAGCAAAAATCCTTTCCGGTTCGCGTATAACAATAATTACTGGCAGTTTATTGTCCACTTCCTGTGTAAGCCTGTTGCGCAATTCCTATTTATTTTATTGTAATTTGAGTGTAATGCAGTCTAATAACGTAATTTAACGGAATTAATGTTCTTTAATTTATTATCATTCAATTGTTGTCCATACAGTGATACAGATTCCGGTGCAATCTTATAATTATTGTCCACTTCCGGTGTAACCTTGTAATGTAATTATTAGTTAATTTATTGTAATTAAATTCGATAACGTAACTTATTGAAATTATCGTTCAGTTTATTACTGTCTAATTACTAATAACATAAATTGCGGTGTACGTATATGTAATCTTATAAAAACAATGTCCACTTCCGGTGTAACGTTGTAATATAATTATTATTTAATTTATTGAGATTTCGTTTAAAAATGTAGTTTATTATTGTTCAATTTATTAGTGTTCAATTATCGTTAATATAAATTGCAGTGTATCTGTAATCTTATATAATTAATGTCCACATCTGGTGTAACCTTGTAGTGTAGTGCAATATAGGCACACGCAGTAATACATGTACTTTAGGGGGAAATTCTTGCTTACACTACGCTTTTTTCAGTGGCGTCACCGGTGGAGCTCCCGTCTCTCCGTGATAAACGCGGCGTCATTTCCGGCGCGGCGAAGGGCGCCATCGGCGGAGCCATCGCCGGCGCGGTGCTGCCGGGCGTCAGTGCCAAACAAGGGGCCGCCGCAGGGGCGGCGGTGGGCGCGGGAGCCGGTCTGATGAAAGGTCACGGCCATAAGCACGACCACCACCACTCCGGATCCAGCCATTCCATTCTCTGATCCCGAACAATTCCCCAACCCAAACTTTTATCCTTCAATTCAGTATTAATTTTTTTTTAATCGAGCCAATGAGTTGTACATGCATTTTACCCATCCGGCAATTATGCCGCAATTTTTGCTGTTGTGAGAAAAAAATGGAAGACGGCAAAATTAATTTTATATGCCTGTCGTTAAGAACGGTGCTTTAAATTTTAATTAATGCACGGGAACCACTGAATTTATTTAATGTGAATATGTAAATACGCTCAATAAATTTGTTGCAGTTTTTTCGCAATAAAAACACGGGAAAATGCTTCCTGCTTGCGCGCACAATTTCTTCACAAAATTATAAAAATCAGTATGAATAAAAAAATTAAAAAGAACAGAAATAAAATATTTTTTCCATGAAAATCAGTCTGCTGAAAGAGCCACCCCCCTAGCCTGCACTTGCTTGCACAACAACGACTGAACGAAACAGTTTCTTTTTCAAGTATTTTCTTATCCAAATATAATTTTTTCTGCATTTTTATGCCTGCTTAAGCTGATCAATAACCCGTAAATTGTCGTAAATTGATCAATAACCATGAAAAACAGGATAAAACCGAAATTGGGTGGTTGCACGTGCGTCTGCCGTGTTAAATGGCAGCATTCTGTAGCGACAGTTACGTGGATAGCTCACTGTTTACTCGTCGATGCGTCGCTTGATTTCTGTAGCATGTTTAAACATGAATATTTTGGTTGATTTTTCGACTGTTCCAAACATTTCCTTTTTTCCCAATCTCCAGTGATTATTCGTCCGTCAAACGCTTGAATCTGGTAGATTAAGGTACTACTTAATCCCAGTTATCCGTAGCTGTCCTCGGATTCATCGTTGTCCGCGGGAGTGTTGATCGGGGGACGTCGGATGGCGGAGGACTATCTGTCGCGCGATAACCAGATGCGCTCGGATGCGTTGTCGTCGCGTGTCTCGCTGCTGAAATCGGTTGGGCTCTTCCTTTCCCTCCTGCATTCTGTTCTCCCCACATTGATCTACTAGTCTCCATCATTTTTAGCTGGGTTTTGTTATGGTCCGTATTTTCTTTGCAGTTGGCCATCGATATCGAAGGGGAGACCAAGGATCAGAATGTGTTTCTCGATGAAACGGTGCGTTCGCAGTTTAACAGTCTTATAATTTTTCTTTGGGGATCTTTTAATTTTCCCATCGTACTCATACATGAACAATTTCCTTCCAAGTAATCTGTATTTTAGTGGAAATTATTTACCTGTCTAACGCAATTTTTGTTTAACGAAAACCTCGTACCTGGAGGTTTTAAATTAAGGAAATGCAGGGACTTCCGGCGTTTGACGCATTTGCAACCGCCCAGTGTGACAGCGTACCAGCGAATTTTATCTTGAATATTTTTGAAAATTTCCCATGGTCTTCCTTTTAGTTTTTCTTCATACAAACCGACTTCCTCTGCATTCGTTGTGTTTATAAATGGGAATAAATTTCAAGAAATCGTTGTAACTTGTAAAAGCGCCGTTTGGTAGCTGACTGATGCAGAAACAACCGATCTTACAAATTACAAATTTTCTGATGGATAAACAAATACGCCGTGAACTGATCGCGAACGTCCAATGGTTTTCTTTTTAACACGTACTTGATTGAAATTTCCCCATCGTAAAAATCTTATCTAGCTTTCAGATGCTTCTATTACAAATGCTAATGATTTATTTTTAAAAATCAATGCTGTCCAGGTTAATAATAATTTATTTAAACACTGTCGTTTTGAGTTTTTGTGACCGCTTTATGACTTTCTATGAGTATTTATTGTCCGGGTTTTTTTAAGAATATTCGCAAACCAGTGGTGACCATCTGTAGAATCATTACATCCAATAATTGATCCATCAGTTAATAATGCTCATAAATCCATTAATAACTTTCATAAATAATTTTCCTAAATCCATAAATAGCTTTCGTGAATAATTTTCCGTAAAAAATTTTCATATTTTGATCCATATGAAATCTCCATAAATTCATAAAATTTTTTCTTAAATCCGTAAATAATTTTCAAGTAAATTTCTCTAAATTTTCATGAATTTGGAAATTGTGCAGAGCAGGCAATTCTCTGTGTGTCCGAAGGAAATTATTCAGTTGGCTGACATATTATTTAATGCTTATTAATGCCATAAATTATTTAATAATAATTTAAATATATTTATCTAAATGTATTATGTATTTTATTATTATTATTATCACTTAACAGTAGCCAACTCCTTTCAATGGAGATATCTTACCAGGCTATTGGAAAATTTGTTTGGTTAGTTTAGAAAATTTGATACTTTTTTTGGTTTGATTTTATGAGATAAAAATTACAGTATTGAATAAATGCTGTAATTTATTCGAAAATTTACTGGTAGAATTTACGTTGCAGGAGAAGGAGATGGTAGCCGCCGGCAACTACCTGCAGCGCGGCCGGAAGCGCGTCGGGCAGATCCTGGCGGCGGGGAAGCGGGACCGCAGGACGCTGCTGTACGTGGCGGTGGGCGTGGCGCTCTTCCTCTACACCACCTACGCCCTGCTGCGCCGTGTCGCGGCCCACGCCGGCGCCCCCACCGACCCCGTGACGACGCCGCCGCTCTTCTCCACCGGCCGACACTGACCTCCGGACCGGTTGCTTTTTCTACACTGAATTTCATGAGCATTACCGAATAAAGCGATGTGTACTACTTTGTATAATTTATATAATAAGCATTTGTATTTTATTTTTTTCACTCATATTGTGTATTAACTTCGGGTAATTTGTCGCTGTACTGTGTTTATATTTTTAAACCTAAATTCTAACAATTATTTTTTGACCGCGGAATATGGTACTTTCCTGTCGATTAAGAGATCTGCTGTTTGTGTTAAACTCCTGGTGAACTGCCGATGTTCTGTACACGAAGATTACTGTGAATTTTAATCCGAAAAAAAAATAAGGAACGAGGCTGGAATTTTTCTGTGCTGATTTTTCTGTGCTGCTGTGCTGTTAACAAATTTTCCATATAATAATTAAATTCGCTATAGGACTTCTCAAATTCAAAGAGCGTGTCCAGAAGTGATAATAAAATTGCTTTAAATCTTGGAAATATTACCGGCTTTCTACCTTGCCACAAATGCTTAGGAAGCCAAACTATTAGTCTAATTCTTAAGCCAAAAATATATTTCTAAGAGTTGTTAGCAGGTTGTAGCGTACTACACTATAAATTATTGTATAACACTATAAATTATTGGTCAACAAGAAACTATAAATAATAGTACCCTTTTTAACTCTAACTAGTACGTACCGATACTAATAAATATATATTTAGTATCGGTACGTACTAGTTAGAGTTAAAAAGGGTACTGCTTAAGGTTAAAAGGTTGCTTAAGGTTAAAAGTTAAATTCAGGAAGGGTTCTGCATTACATCGACTATATATATAGTCGATGTAATGCAGAACCTTTTCTGAATTCAAGCCGCAGCTCCACTCATTAGACGCACAATAATGAGTACTAGTACGTTCAGTACCACACATTAGACGGACAATCTTGGATTCAACACAGCGTACACTACAGTTTTAGTAGCTACTTTGTATCTTTCTCTGGAATATGTACAAGCTTGTCCGGATGATGAGCAGGAATGAATACAGCGTCGAAAAATATAACTTCGTGGGTTGCGCTAAACTGTACATTCCGCGGCGCGCCACGCCACAATGTTTACGCACTGCACACATTTAGCACGGCTCGAGAACGCCAAATATTGATGTTAAAATAAAGGTCACTTCCATGCGCCCCAAAATTTCCGGTCTATCTGTATTTCGGCTATACCGTTTACACAGAATCCGTATTCAACCATACTGTAAGCGCAATCGTGAGTAACCTATGGAAACACTTCCCGCCCGTAGAATTTCCGGTATCAGGTTACCGGCGCCTGGCTGTGCTAATAGTCAGTCTGCTACGTTAACCATTTGGCATAATAATATTAGGTATATCGTAGCTGCTTTACAATTGTTAGCTGTCGGCTTAGAAAAAAAAATGTCTACAATTCTCTGGATTGGCTACAACCGGAAATCATGCCTGCCTTAGCTCGGCCTCCATGCAGTTTTTCTGTTCACAGAAAAAAAGAACAACTCCCGATCCACAGCTGAACATTTACGATGAAAGCGTCGTCCAAATTCCGATTACTGTATTTTCTCTCGGATTCCATGTCAGTTTGTCCAAAACTTACAGAGGAGAAAATGAACTTACAGAGGAGAAATCTGTCGAAAACCGACCGTAATCCAGGGACTGGAAAAGCACTACCGCTCCAGTAATTTCCTTGAGGCACTCCTGACTTTGACGAACTCGATTAACTTTAAACGAACGATACACATCTTCTTTAATTCTTCCTGTACCAGTAACTGGACCGTAAGCAGCAATTTAATCCCCCAAATGGCATTTGTGGTAACTGGTTCCTATCGTATCGTGCATTATTGCGTATGCTACTGCTCAGCGCATACGCTCTGATTGTCTGTATTGACTGGTCGGATATCTTCCTGAACGGGACGGCCGATTATTCCCGTTCCTGCGCCAAGTATAAATACAACCCGGTCCTCTTTATCCTGACCTAAAGTTATTCGGAGGTAACCTCCAGTGTCGCGCTCCTCATTCTGGCCACTTCGGTGTACTTCCATCGTCAGCAGCGGGCAGTCTATCGGACATTACGACGCAGCCTTCGTAGCCGAACGCCGGCTTCCCATCCTCCGTGGCACGCCACCACCATGGGCGGACGGTTGCTCTACTCCCAACCTTGTGGTCGCGGTGTGCGTGTTGGCCGGCAAGCCCATCCTCGCCGGTTTGTAGAAAGACGGCAGTCCGTTCGTCCGCTAGCTAGGTTTCAGGTTTGCATGGAAAGTCCATCCATCGGCTTGTAGAAAAACGGCAGGAATGTGCATAAGCCGAAGTGGGTATCGGCCGAAATGTACTGCGGCCGAAAGACTTTGGCCGCAACGAAAACGGGGCCGAAGTGATCGGTAGCCCCGTTTGTACACGGCCGATGTGGTCTGACGCGCCATTCACTTCGGCGGCCGGTGTTGCAGTCATTACTTACTTTGGCCGTTTTCATTTCGGCCACAATACATTTCGGCTAACGCTAACTTCGGCTTACAGGTAAGGACTAGAAAGACGCTTAATCCCACCCACAAAGCATTCCGAACGCATCGCTGCACGACTCAACTAAAATATCCAGTTATCGTACTAGTGCACTTGCCACATGCGTACGGATAATTCTGGGTTTGGGGTTATGCGTCTTTTTAGTCCTAAGCTGTGCGCAGATTTCGGCCTGCGCACAAATCAACTAATCGTCTGCGAATGAAGGCCAGCGTGAAATAAGAAATTTGAAACGGTCTCTTCAAGCAATTTCTAATTTCAATTTCAATTTTTTTGCCATAGTGCGGCCGTAATATTATACAAGCAGGCTTGTCATAGCTCTTTACCTGCTGAAAGATTTCACGGATCTTCTAGTTCTTCCTTTATTGATAACGACTTTTCATTTTCTTTGAATTTTGTTACCGTTTCAGGAGAAACACGTAGTAGTGAAGCTCCGCGGTGTATGTTGTGGTCCGTTGTCCAGCACAGGAACTGTGTTTGGCCCACTGCTTACTCCACATCATCGGCCGGCCATGCTCAGTCTCCTGCAGTACGGTAACAGCGTGGACATCCTGGGGGACGACGGGATGATGCGGTGTGGACGGGTGGTGGACGTGGCCGACAACGGCCTCGTCGTCGATCTGCTCTACCCCAACCGACGCCGTGAATACGCTCCATTCGACCGGCTCTTCCTACCCAGCGAAACGAGCGAAGACGAGCCATACCTCACTAACAGTAAAGAATTCGCAACGTTTCCGGTGGAAGTGCTGGTGCCGGAATCGTCGTTGGGCCCACTGATTTGGCTGCGTGGTGAAGCGGTCGCTGTAGGACGCGTATGGCCGATGACACTATCCGGAGGCACTGTCGTCCATTGGCGACGCAAGGACAACGGCGTGCGCTGCACGGACATCCTCCCCTTCGAACGCATTCGTTGGCCGCTGACCGGGGCACTGGACCTGCATCGGCACATTCGTCCAGGGACCTTCGTCAAGGGCACGGTGCCGCTGGACGTTGAAGTAAGTTCCCTGTCGGCCGAAGAAGCCGAGGAGCTCATCAAGCAGTTGAATGACGGCGAATGGCGTGGCCTGTCCTTGCCGTACAAAGTTGACGTGGTGGAGCTTCACGGCGGCAGGCTGGCGTGCATTTACCAAGAGGGCTTCCGAGGAGCAGCGGGAGGGTGGGATGCCAGAGACGGGCTTGTTCTGGTATGAACGAACTCTTTTTTCTTGCGAAATCAATTGAACTCCAAGCAATCCTCGGTTTGCAGGCTTCCCATGCCCGTTTCTGCGCGGAGCTGATCAGACTATCTCCGCTGTCAGGCGAGACGCCGGCCACCAACGACGGGATGGCGCTGCCGATGCAGCTGTGGCGGCAGGTGTTCGCCCACTTGGACACGGTGACGCAGATGAAGGTGCGCACGGTGTGCGCCGCGTGGCACCGCATGATGGACACGCCGGCGCTGCGTGGCTGTGTGGTGATCGGCGACCATATGTCCTCCCAGTGGGGAAATGTTCGCTTCCTGTGCATGGCGACCGTGTACAAGCGCGTGCAGCCGGGCACGCAGCACCTTCTGATGGACCGCTTCCGCAACTGCCCGAATGCGACCGTCGATCTGCTGCTGCTGAGCGACATGCTCGGTTATGTGGCGCGCCAACGCATGGGCGTCCGCCTACACATTCTGCATCTGCGTCATCTGACGCTGGAACTGCAGATTGCCAACACCGCCGGTATTTCGCCCACTGTTGAAGTCGTCTGCATCAGATGCATCCGGCACCGGCGGGAGTGATGCCGATGGGGAACGACGTTTCGTATCTGCTGGAGTATGTCATGGCCGGATGCGACCGCCTGCCGTGCAACGTCATCCAGTTGGTCAGTTGTCCTGTCAATTTGTTCTGCTGTTTGTATCGCCAATCGGACGGCTGGGCCGAGAAACGCCTCCGTCTCGAGATCAGCATCCCGACTGCCCGCCTGCCGATCGGGCGTCATTTCCACTGCGCATTGTGGGAGGCGTTGGAGGCGGCGCTGCCGGCACCGGATGAGGAGAAGCTGGAAGACCTCCTGATCCGACTGGAGTTTGATACTCAGGGCAAACTGCCGAAGGTCGTCGCCACGGTACGCCGCACAGCTGCAGTGTCTTACGTAATGGGTTGTTGTCCGGCTGCGAGAAACCACTGAGCAACGCGTGTTTGTTGCAGATGTTGTGCGCGCTGCAATCGGCGGATCCGCGTCCATCGGCGGACTATCGCGGGAAGAAATGGTGCGTCGACGGGTTGGAAGATTTGCAGCTGGCCAGACTGTCGCGTATTAGTCGGCATTTTCTCGTCAAACTACAGCGAGACGCAGGATATTGATAGCGTCTACCCTGGACGGGCCGGAGAATGGTTGACCTTTGCGCACTGTCTGTTTCATTTCGCCTAGAATAACCCCTAAAAGCCGAGTTTGAAGCGATTTCACCACGTAGTAATCAAGATTTTAAAAAAAGCGATCCAATGTCGAGTTTTCTGTAACAGATTTTAAAAAACTGTAACAGATTGAGATTTTTTTCTGTAACAGATTTTTTCTGTCGAGATTTTAAAAAAAGCGATCCAATGTCGAGTTTTCTCTCTCTGTAATGTTCTTTTTGCAAAACGATTCCAGATTCGTGTTCAGCGCATAGAATAACCTTTAAAGCAGTCGTCGGCATTTTCAACCAAAACGGAAACATTAATAAAACAACCAAAATCCTTATCTTCTCTCGGATTAAGAGGCATTGTACTCACAACAGCCGTAGCATTTCCTTTAACACCAGCTAAACTAAAACGCTGATTGAGAAAGGCAGTAGAACGCGCTTCGCCCGGTATGTCCCTAATCTTGCGGCCCATGAAATGAAGCATTTCACTGAAGGCAGGGCCAAAAACTCCCAGTGTCTCAATAAACCAGAGGATAAGAGAGGTAACCGTTTTAAAAAAAAAAATAAGTCCGGCGCTTGGAATTTTCTCCCATTTGGGACACACTTCCGGATGTCTTCGAGCTTGCGGTATCGTGGGAATCTGCAACAGTACACCTACTTGGTTCGTGTGGGATCCAGTACCTGCTTGACGTTGCAATAAAAATTTGCAAAATGCTGCTGATTAATGCAATAATTACCGATGCCAGTGTTGTCAGCGTAATTTTACAGTACATTCTACGCGTATATAACGTAGCGTACGGGTAACGGGAGAAACGTAATGCAAAAGGTCACGAACCGAGTGAAAGGTCCCGAAAGGTTATGAACGAAGCGATCGCCACATATTTTTAAAGTCTACATAAATGCTGCACCGTGTTATGTACTTGCACCTGCAGTTGTGTGTACGGTGTCTTTCTGTGATTTGTTCAACAAGTTTGATATGAACTTTTACCTTAACGGACTGCGCTTTTATTCACTTGCGTACTGCATTTTGCTGTATTTGGAATCTTTTCCAAATAATCTGAAGTCCTTACCTTCACGGCTTGAATTTTCACTGAATTGAAACTGAAACACAGAGGGAGAGAGTCGCTGCTTTTCCTCCTGTTCATTATTCACGTATGCAAGATAATTTATTGTTGTTCATTTAATTTATTGTAGTTAATTTATTGTAGACGCTTACTCGACGCGGAGTGCAGACCGCCACAACTGAATGAGTTAACTGTTGTTCGAAATTTTGCTTCAAACGCTGGCATAATAAAAGAAAAACGTTGGTAAACAGTACTAAACACACTGTTTTATGAGTCTGCGGACTCAAAAAGAAAAGATTGATTGGTGCAGTCAACTGCCTTACAGTAACGCAAGAAATACATTTGCACAACGCGGCCCCAGAAAATCCGAACAGCGGTAAGAACATATTCAGCAGAAGCCGGCTCGGCCCACGCAGAAAACAGTATCAGTCTTGCAGCAGAATCATACCGAGACTCTAGGCCGTATCCCGCTGTAGTTGGGCGAGAAAGTGCCGGCTGATACGCGACAGATCTTCCAGATGCACGTCTGCCAGTTCCAGACCGTCCACGCACCACTTCTTCCCGCGAAAATGCGACGTCGGACGCGGATCATCCGACTGCAGCGCGCACAACATCTGCAACATGCTCGTGATTAAAGTGTTTTGTAGCCGCGAAATCCCGCGCCATCGAGGTTCTCCCGCTCGCACTCTGCCTCTGCTCAACGACACTCAGAACCATGCACCCAACTGAACGACACTCAGCACAACGAGGATTTTTGATCCCCCATGCCACTTTCACGCATGCGGGTTTGCTGCGCAAGAACACGACGCTGCGCAGTGACACACTCAGCGAACCGGAAATAGTGCCGTTGCTATGTCACAACATACAGTCATTCGGTCAGAAACCGTGAATCGTACCGTGCAGACGACTTTCCGGAGCTGGACGTCTTTATCACATTCGGAATACTGCAGCAGGTCCAAGAACTCCACTTCCTGCCCACTGGTCGCCGGCAGCGCCGCCTCCAACGCATTCCACCAAGCGCAGCGGAAATCCGGACCAATCGGCAGTCGCGCTGTGGGAATGTGGATGTCCACACGGACGAGTCTCCATTTCCAACGGGCCGACTGGCGTGAAAAGCAGTAGCAGAGCAGCTGGACAGTGCAGTCAACCAGGATAACCGTCTCGCACGGCAGACGCCCGCAGGCTGCAACGAAGTCTTCCAGCTGATACGAGAGGAGCTCCCCGGCCGCCTGCAGCGCTGCCGGATCCGGTTGGTGTAGGGCGCATTCGCTGTCGGCCGAGTGGCCGGTGACGCCGTTGATCTGCAGCGCCAGCGGGAAACGCCGCAGCTGCAGACTGCGCAGGCGGATGCCGGGGCGCTGCTGCGCGACGTAGCGGATCATGTCGCACACGATCATCGTGGCAGCGATGCCCCGCGGGTTTCCGTGGGGAGACTGCGCCACCACGTGCTGCGTGTTCGGCTGCAAGCGGTGGTACACCGTCGCCAGGCGGACGTAATCGCTGTTCCGCGTAGGCGCGTCCGCATCGACGCCCGTCAGAATCCGCTCGCACAGCGCCGGGGTGTCCATCAGCGTGTTCCACGCGGTGCAGACCGCCCGCAGCGCCATTTGGGCTCCCGTCCCCAAGTGCGACAGCACTTCCTGCCAGTCTTTGTCCGTCAGCGGCGTCTCGTCGGGCCGGGCCGGGAACTCGTCCAGCAGCTTGGACAGCCGAATTAACTCCGCTTCGAGATTGGCGCGGACCGCCTGAAACCCGCCCACTACACGCCAGAACACCTAAGAAAACCAAGAGAATGTTTTCTTACCAGAACACGCCCGTCTCGAGGATCATAAACGCCGTCCACTTCCCGATAACCCTGCTGGTAGACGTAGCCCAAACGGCCGTTCACGAGTTCCACGACGTCCACTATACACGGAAAGGGAATGTCTGATCGGGTTTCGCTGTCATTCAGCCGCTGGATGATCTCCTCTGCTTCTTCACTGGACAGCGAGCGGAATTCATCGTCCAGCGGCACCGTTCGCTTGACGAATGTTTCGGGACGAATGTGGCGGTCGAGTTCCAGTGCTTCCTCCAGTGGCCAACGGATGCGCTGAAAAGGGATGAAATCGGTGCAACGTACTCCGCTGTCCTTCCGTCGCCAATGGACGATGGCCCCTCCGATCTCCTCCACGGGCTTTCCGCGTCCGAAACTGACGGCCTCTCCCGGAAGCCAGATCAGCGGACCCAGCGGCGTCTCCGGCACCAGCACTTCCACGGGAAATTGGGCGAATTCCACGGGGAACCGGCGATACGGATCAATTTCGCTCGTCTCGTGCGACAAAAAAAGCCGGTCGAAGGGAACGTATTCGCGGCGTCGGTTGGGATAGAGCAGATCGAGCAAGAGCCCGTTGTCCGCCACGTCCACCACGCGTCCGTAGCGCATCATCCCGTCGTCGCCCAGAACGTCCACAGCGTTAGCGTATTGCGTCAGGCTGAACATTGTTGACGAACTCGTTGAGCAAGAAATAGTTCCGCAACAGTTCGTCGTTGTACTTTAGAAGAAGCGAGAATTCCTCACCCAAAAAAAGATATTTAAAGAGGTGCCCGAGATATCATAGAGCTGCAGCAGCAAGCCAGCCAACGGCCGCACGAAATCAAAGAAATTTATGATTAGAAGGCTATCTGGATTGCAAAGTGCACACCCTTTTCTGCTTGTCAAGCCAAGATGGCTCGTACACCGAATCATAAAACTTGCACACAGTAGGCGTGTCTGTCTTCCCCTGGTTAGCCGGTGGGCGGTCCCAATAGACATTTAATTCAATGATGGCGACAGGACTAGAGATCTCTGCGACACTCTGTACACGTGGTACTGACGAATAATTTCTGCAAAGCCTGTGAAGCCAGACACAGGAGGCTGACAGCCCAACAGGTTTTTCAGTCTTCTTTCAGTTTTTTTCTTACGAAATTGCTCACACTGAATGAAGAGTGGCCACACGAAGACTCGGCACTGATAATGCGACAATTCTGGAAGTCGTAGCTTCGCTGTTTGGATGTTCTTCCATCTACCAATGCTACACACCGACTATTCGCTGACCACTGTCCTGCTGGCCGACAACTTGCTGGCGACTTTTTGGTAATCGACGAAACGATGACCCGACAGATTGTAAAAATAGCAACCTAAGAAAAAACGACAAGAAGTGAAATAAATTCAAAAACCAACGTATCAAACGGTCAAGAAAAATTTTCGACAAACCCGTCCAGTCTGTACGACGCTATTTTATCCATGTCTGCCGTAAGAACAGACAAGTAAGGTCTAGCAGATAAAACGGCCGCAGCTCAGAATGTTGCGGTATATGTAAAATAGGAATATCATTCGTCAAATGATTTGACGAATGACCTATGCCCACGGCGTATGCCCAGTGTAAGAGCGGTGCGGATATTTCCGCCGCAGCGGTGACACAGGCTATTGAGAGCTTGTTTGAACTGGAGAAGAGCGTTACAAAGATCAAGAACTTCCTGGAGCTGATGAAGGAGGCCAGGAAGGCCGCGCATGTGGAGCACGCGGAGGTGCAAGTGGAGACCAGCCCCGGCGGCATCCGCAGCCGAATGAAGAAATGGATTTCGGGCAATGCGGAATTGAGGATTTGTGCGGAATCCGATTCCTTGCGTTCCTTTACATAGGAAAACGTTTTTGTTTAATTTTGGAATCGGTTCTTCTTAAAGATAAAATTGGCGGGTTTGGTGAAATTTTTTTACATGTTAGCCAACCAAAAACCAATGGGATTGTGCAGACTACATGCGCTACCATGATTTAGCTGATTGCGCGCGCTTTAGTTTGCTACCATTGAACCCAGTTAATATTGTAGTATTTTAAACAATTTTTTTCTTCCATTCAACATTTACTATGGTTCTTCTTTTTACACCAGCCAACCAGAATGACTCTGCCGCCTCTGATGCATAGATACCGTTTTCTAAACATATTTCCTGCTAAATTTCTGTTGGTAGAAAGCTGGATGAAGCGGATTATGAAATACATGCAGATAGTTGTGTTACAGTTACGCATAAAAATTTGGCATTCAACCTAACTGTAATCCGAGACTCTCTGACAAACACGGCATCAAGTTACGGGTGTCGGGCTGTGCTAGTACGCTAGTATGCTATTTGTCTTACTTCAAATGCAGAAAAAAAACGGCTAAACAGCTGAACCATTTAATTTGTGTAAATTACCAAGCCACAGTCACACAGTATCTGTAGTTACTGCACGTAGGAAAGTGCTTGCTATTATGCCACTGATACCGTATTGACAATCTGCCATTTTCAGGATTTCACATAACCGGAAATTGTGCCTGTCAACGTACATCTCCAAAACGAAGCCAAAGCCAAAGCAAACTAATACCTATCCGTATTACTACGTATTTCTTTCACAGCCTGTATTCCACGCCAGTATTTTCTCTTACATTAAATTGATTAACCAGAGATACGAGGAAAACGTTGAATAAAAATCAAAGTATCGCAGAAAAATGGAATTTGCTGCAGCGAGCAAATTAATTTACTCACGAACCATGACGCTCTTCATGTCAGTCTGTCGTATAATGTTGCGTGTACTACTTCTCAGCGCATACGCTCTGATTGTCTGTGTCGACTGGTTGGATTTCTTCCTGAACGGGACGACTGATTATTCCCGCTCCTGCGCCAAGTATAAGTACAACCCGGTCCTCTTCATCATGACCAGCACCTTCTCGGAGATGACCTCCACCATCGCGTTCCTCATTCTAGCTGCGTCGGTATTTTTCCACCGGCAACTGCGGGAAATCTACCGGACAGTAGGCCGCGATTTTCCGAGCGACGGCGCCGGCCTTCTCCCAGTTAATACACGCCCCCACCTGGGGCGTGCGCTTGCCGCGACGCTAATCCCTACCGGCATCATGTTGTTAGCGGTGTGTGTTCTAATCAGCAAACCGGTCCTCGACAATATCTCCAATATGTCTCCAGAGCCGTACGCAGTCTTCAGCCTACCGACCGTGCTAGTGGAATCGTGGTTCGCCGTAATGCAGACCATCACCGGTACCATCGTCTATGCCTGCTTCAGCATTATAACGGTCATCCTCTGCAATTTTAACCAGGTAGTGGATGGATTGTTGGATGGACTAAACAGCATTTCCCTGCGTCTGCCACACATATCCGCCTCCGATTTACTACCGGTTGTACGCGGGTACGAGTTCGATTTGGAAAAGATGGGGACAGCCTATGGGCGCATGGAGACGTGTGTCGGCTTGCCGCTGTTGTTGATCAGTCTGTCCACATTCTACTCCTTGGTCTCGACGGTAGCCAAGATGATGCTGGATATCAGCGATTTCCAGGATCCATATTTTGCAGCGTCGCTTTTCTGGGATAATTTATTCCACGTTTACATGATGCTGGTCTTACTTGTACTGGTGGACAATGCGACTAAAAAGGTAGTACCGCGTGCCAACGACTGTTTTGTTACCATTACGGTGTAAAACTAAATCTTATTTGCGTATAAATAAATTTAAATATTACCGTCTCCAAGGCAGTGAAATTTAAGGTCATCTGTGCTCTGTACAGTGATGAAGTATAAAAAGGTGAAGACGGTCAGTCGGCCCAAGGCTGAAAAATTCAGATATCTTATTTCTCAAGCTATGTGCAACGGGAACACACTCAGTGTGCAACTGCAAAACACACCGACGTTCGAGAAAGAAGCGTTTCTTTATGCTATATGTGTTTGCAGTTTTGAACCATTTTATACATTTTAAAGATAAGTATGTGGCACACTAATCCCTCGTATTCTGTAGAACGAAGACATTGTGCAGATATCCCGTCGATTGTTGGCCGACTGCATCCGCTTGCACCAAGATGATGTCTACACACCTCTCCAGCCAGCGAACGACGGGTTCATGGCCACGGAGGAAAAGGTACAACTAAGGAGGCACATCAAAGCCGTCTCCACAGTAAATGAATACAGTGATTAAATCGGTGCTAAACCGTTTTATGTACGAGGACATATGCGTACCGTGTGACGCTGCATGTGTGACATCGAACGGTTACACATTTGCGCAGTATTGCAGTCTCCGAACTTTTAAAGGTGACCAGTAAGTCTACGGACAGCAATGTCGCCGCGACCGGCGCAACGGGGCGCAAGTGCATGGTCTCGATGATGCGAAGACTGCTGGCCGCTGCCAAATGCTATTGTCACAGCGAATTCTACGCGTTCCGCATGGTGACAGTGCGACGCGCCATGATCTTTACGGTAAATGTTCTGACAACTGAAGCCGACGCACTGCGCCCGTGTTTTTACTGCAAATATAGGGGGCAAAAGTAAACGTGTTCCACCGTTCCCCTGTGCTGCTGCCGTCACCCGACTGGAGTTTGACGTTGTGGCTGAACATGGCGGTTACGTACCGCGCCAGATTTAACCATATGTACTGCCGTAACGTCACACTCCAGGCGGGTGACGACAGCAGTACAGGGGAACGGTGGAACGCGTTTACTTTCGCCCCTTATATACCACAGTGTCTTACGTGGGTTCGCGGCTGCACAGGACGATCAGATTATTTCGACGGTTGTACGATGAAATAAATGCCGTATGTCGCCTAATAACTGTTGATGTTACAGATCGCTGGTCTGGTCGTGATGGCAGCGTTCTTCTTTTGGGATCGGCGGGAAGGTTACACGGGAGCTGGCGGCTGTCCCGGGCTGTTTGGCAACCGAACCGCGATCCAGTTTAACACCCCGGCAGTTGTAAATCGATGATGCGCTTAGCTTACTCCGTTTTGCACGTTATATTATGGAATGCCGCTACAACTTGGTGAAATTATTATAACTTGCTGCACTAAAATTATCTTTTCGTTTTGTGCATGTATATGTACATATTTTACATGTGCATGTATATGTTTACATGTACATGTACAATTATTATACATGTACATGCATATATGTATACGTGTATATGTTCCAGTATACTCTTTTTATTCGCGTTATTAGCAACAAATTATTCACAATTTCTACATAAATCGTAAAAAACTAAATCACAAGAGTTACTCAACATCTACGAACACAGGCGGGCGAATGACAGAAAATATTTCGTGCAAACGCGCCGCCGGTGGTGCTGTTCCCATTATAGAAGCTGCGTATCCCCGTTGAATTGTCGATGCTGATCCGCTGACGCAGAAACTCTAGTGTTCGCGGTTCGCCTGACTGCTGCTGGATCATCTTTCCTAGCACGTTCAGCAGCTGGGTGGTTTCTAGTCCAAATGTTCCGTAGGTCTCGAAAGCCAGAGGCTTGAACCAGTAATCCTGGGTGATGTTGCGATATGTCTCGGTCTTGCCCCGCTCGGCTAGCGCTGCTGCCGCTCCGGCTCGGGTGGATGTGGCTGCGATGTACGACAAAGCCATGGTGCTGCGGCAGGTTACATCCCAGGCCGGCGCCTTCCCTCTTTCCCACGGGAAAATTGTCACACCGTCTGGTCGTTTGCCATCTGTACGGGAGATTCCGAGCGGTTCCAGTTCAGTTTCGATTCTG